TGAAACAGACCATCTGGGTCTAATTCAGCCCCATCCCTTACAGGCTTTGCCATCTTGGGTATGTCACCTGGTCCCTCTGTGCCTTGGATTTCTCACTGTAAAATAGATATAATAATGGTAGAGCCAGCATGTAATTGCTTGTAAAGTGTTGGCATATAAACACTCAACAGGTCTCAGTGATGTCTGTAGGCAAAGAAAATTATGCTAGCAAAGGCCTTGGAGGGCCTGGCGGCACATATCAGTGTGCTCCAGCTCATCTAGCAGATTTAAATATTTAACATGAATAGACATGAAGTGTCATTCCCTAGTTTCAGTGGGCATACTGATCCAAAAAGGAATAAAATAAAAGAGCTGACCACTCAGGAAAGAAATCAAACTGCCTACCACACACAAGGCACCTCAGTCAAAGAATTTGCCAGTGTCGAGGTGATGTCCTTCAGTCTGAAAGAAGCTCTGGCTAGAAAACAAACCTTTTTCTGGCACACAGAGCACACCATGAGCTTCAGGTTCAGCCACCTGTAGGAGCAGACCCTGCTGGCTCCTTCTGGCTACTTACTGCCATGCCAAGGGAAAACATTTGCTGTGCTCCTCTACTGTTTGAATTGCTTCATTTGGTTGCAAATACCAAAAAGGGGGGGAAAGAGAGAGAGAGAGAGAGAGAGAGAGAGAGAGAGAAAACATCTGTTTTTTAACTCAATACACTCTCACAGTGTCTACAATGAGTCATCAAGACTTGGCTCTCAGTTCACCGGACAATTATCCCAGAAGATCCTTTCCAAAATGTAGACTTGAGAGAACTAAACCAATAAAAAAGAAAAAGCCAAACAGGGTTAGGATGTAAACAAAAAAGATTGAAGAACGGAGGATAGCTGACAACACTTTGAGGGAAAAAATAGAGGACCTCTGAATTGAAATGAAGTCAGAAAGACACAAGCAAATGAGACTCATCTGAGCCTCCTCTGAATTAGACTTCTCTAAAATTGCAATCGGCTCTTTCTTTAAGTGATCCAGCTCAGTTCACACCGAATTAGGGCAGAACTAACTCGTGACAAGAGCGTCAGAACTTAGCCAGGGCTCACGACTGTAATCCTAGCTACTTGGGAGGCTGAGGACCAGAGAACCACAGTTTATGTAAGCCTGGAAAAACAGTTTGTGAGACCCCATTTCCAAAATAACCAGATGAGAATGGACCTGAGATGTGGCTCAAGCAGTAGAGAGTTCCAATTGCCCAAGGCTTCCATTTTCTTGGAATATCAAAAGTAACAGAACTGGACACTTCACACCATATTGCAAAGAATTTTTTTCAGTTACATAATAAATCTCTCATATCAAAAACATAAAGGACACATATATTCTTTTGAAATCCTAGCTATCCCTGTCTCTGACATTCGTCCCAAGAAGCTGTGCCTAGAAACAGCGGTTAGGAGATGATAAAGTCCTTGAGAACAATCCCATGATTCCAAACACAGGACCCTGATAGGAAGACAAACTGAGAGAAAGTGGAGAATTTTATCCATAATTCAAGGCAGAGCTCTCCAGAACAAGTACAATCCTAAGGTCTGTGGCCCTACAGGAAATGTCTAGCACAGCAAAAATAATCACAGAGCTAGTTCACTTCAGGGCTTTCCCGCCATGGGGTTTCCTCTGTGGGACTGAGGAAGACATCCCAACCCTGTCTGTAAGACCACAACTCCACATGACCACTCTGCCTGGGGGGCTGGCCTTGGCTGACATCTGGGCTGACAGCTAATTGATGAGAGGTGCTCATCAGGGTGCCTAGGGCTACTTACACAAATCAAGTGGTTTCTGCTGAGGAAGCACTGCCTTCCTCCTGGGAGTCTAGAATTTTAGCAGGAGCCAGGCGGAGGCTGCCTATGTGAACAGACTCCAGGGAAACCCTATGGGGCCGTGTCTGCTGGGCATTCCAAGGCAAGCACTCAGCATATACGTTGCTGCATTTTCATGGCTGGGGGAAGAGTGTGCTGTGTGGGACCCGAGGATAGAGAGGGCATAAGGAAACCTGAACACTGATCCTGCAGACCCCGTCTGGATCTTGGCCTGTGACTCAGCTAGGAGTCCATGCCCTATCACCGGAGTAAATCTCAGCTCTGAGAACAACCATGTGCTGAGTTCTGTAAGTCCTTCTAGTGGGTCTCCAAGTTCAGGAATTGCTCCTGGATCCCCTGTGACACAAGCACTCATGTAGCCCTCCAAAACATTCTATTTCTCGATACAGACTCTCACTATGTAGTCCCGGCTGGCCTTGACCTCAGCTTCCCAAGTGATGGGAGTTCTTTTTCTTTTTTTGTCGGTACTGGGGCTTGACTTCAGGGTCTCCAATTTGCATTCTACCACTTGAGTCACTCCTCCGGCCCTAGTATTGTTTTTTAAACATTTTTTATTTTTTGGCAGGACCTCATGCTTGCTAGGCAGGTGCTCTACCACTTGAGCCACTGTGCCAGACCTGTTTCATGATGGGTATTTTTGAGATAGGGTCTTGAGAACTATTTGCCCAGGGCTGGCCTTGAACCTTAATCCTCCTTATCTCTACCTCCCGAGTAGCTAGGATTATAGGCGTGAGCCACTGGCATCCTGCCCTAGTCTATTTTTTTATTGTAATAAAATTCTCAAAAAATCTATTATCTTAATCATTTTTAGGTTTATAGTTCATGGAATTAAGTACATTCACCTTGTGCAACCATCACCAACACCCATCTCCATAACTTTCATTTTGCAAAACTGAAACCATGCTCCTTAGAGATCCCATTTCTTTGCTGCTCCCATTATTCTACATTCTGTCTCTCTAAATTCTGACTCTAGGTACCTTATGTAAGTGAATCTTATAGTATTTATCTTTTTGTGCCTAACTTATCTCACTTAATGTAAACATCCTCAAGGTACATTCATGTTGAGGCGTATGTCAGACTCTCCTTCCTTTTTAAGGATGCATAATACTCCATCATAGATATAGGTCATATTTTGTGTATCCATTCATCCATTGGGTAGCCTCCACCTTCTGGCTATAAATATGGATGCAGGAGTATCTACTTGAAGAACTGCTTTCAATTTGGGAGTTACATACCAGAAGTGGAGTTGCTGGATAAGCTTGTTTTAAGGCTGAATAATAATCCATCATACAGACATACCACGTTTTGTTTATCTACTTATGCACTGGTGAACAACTCAAATTGTTTCTACTTTTTGGCTATTGTGAATAAGGTTTCTGTGAACATGAGTTGCCAAATATCTCAAGTTTCTGCATTCAGTTCTGTTGAGTATATACCCAGAACCGGAACTGTTGGATCACTCAGTAATTCTATTTTTAGTTTCTTTGAGGAACTGTGTGCTTTTTTCCACAGCAGCTGCACCCTTGTAAATTTTGACCAAAAGTGTACAAGGGTTCCAATTTCTCCAAATCCTTGTCAACAATTGTTATTTTGCTGTTTTTAAAAAAAAAGCTACCCCAATTACCCCAAAGTGTATGAGGACTGAAAAACAGTCTAACCGTTATTTGGGACTTACTTTTGAGAACTTAAAAAGATTCCCAAAGGATTTATTGTAGGCAAGCAACAAACCAACCAACCAACCAACCAACAGAAACTCCCTGGGAAAGAAGCATTCTACACCAAGAGCCAGAGCCCAGGCCTCTGGGAATGGCAACTCGGGAGAGGGTGGGGTTCAGTTTCAAAGTCAGAGAAAAACATCTATGGCTCAATAATTGTTGTGGCTGGGAGTATAGCTCAGTGGTACAGCAATCCCCAGCACCAAAAAATAAAATAACATAAAATAAATAAAGCTTGCTCAAGGTCTACGCCAAATTTCAACACACACACACAAGACCAAGTTATATGGCTCTCGCTTACCAGAGGTTCGCAGATAAAGTTGTTTGACAGAGTGTAAGACAAGCATAGAAAATGACTTTATTTCATCATCACCTTGGATCTTTAAATAAGTAAAGCTGGACTTCTTTGGATTAAACACTGTCATCATCACAGGCTTTCACCTCTTTCTGCCAGCACAGTTGTGCAGCTCCATGCCTGGGAGGACAGGGACTTGGGATGCAGGACCCAGTCTTTCCTCAGGGGTGAGCACAGCAGTGTGACAGGCGGTCTTGTACAACAGTCCCAAGGTGCTGCCTCTGGCACTCGAGCCCCGTGTGATCCTCTCCCCTTCAGGGTGGGCTCAACTAGTGACTTGCACGCACCTCACAAAGAGAACGCAGCAGAAGTGACGGGATGGCAATTTCAAGGTTAAGTTTAAAGACAGGGACTTCGCCTTGCTCATGTGCTGACCATGGCTTTTCTCGGTTTCTTTGGTGAGAATTGGTGCTATGTTGTGAACCGCCCTAAGGACAGCTCCACATGACCGGGAACAGAGGATGCTCTTCAGCCAACAGTTGCAGGAAACTAAGACCATCAGCCCAGCAGTCATGAAGAACTGGCTCCTGCCAGCAACTGCATGGGCATGCTGAGGAGAGGGTCCTGCCCTGGAGCCCTGCTGCACCTGGGCCGCAGCCCTGTGAGAGCGTGGGCCAGGATCCAGCTCAGCCTCATCCTAACTCCTGAGCACAGAACCATGCTAAGTTTGGGGGTAATTTATTATGTGGCATTAGAAAACCAAAACACATGGGTAAACTATAATGTGCTTAGAGGTACCAGACCGTCTGTGTTAAGTCTGAAGCAGCATGCACAAATTTTCCATATAGGGTCAACTAAGCTAGTGGAGGTTATGCCAACTTCAAGAAAGAAAACCAGCACCTTACACTGGGAATGGGAGACTTCTGTGTTGCAGGCTAACTGCGGGGTTTTCTGACTCCCCACCCTTGCGATCAAATACCTGAAAACCAACTCTCCTGTAGTTCATTGGATTTTCACAACTACAAAATAATACATTTCTGGCAGGTTTAAACAAATAATGGAGAGCAAAGCAAGGTATTGTTTGTCCTCTGGGAAATCCACAGAAGTCTTCATCTCTACACCTAGCTACTACACTGATGGAAATTTTTTTTTTTTTTTGGCAGTACTAGGGTCTGAACTCAGGGCAGCTCAGGCTTGCTATGCAGGCGCTCTACCACTTGAGCCACTCCACCAGCCCTTAATTACCACATTTAAAGTGAACTCTCAGAAGGGGGGAGAAATGACCCAAACATTGTATGCACATATGAATAAAAGAAAAAAAATTAAAACAATGACAAACATTAAATAAATAAATAAATAAATAAAGTGAACTCTCCCATGTGTGAAATGTCCAGCACTGGCAAATCTAGAAACAGAGAAGGGTGACTGCTGAAAGGCAAAGGGCTTCTTTTGGGGGTGATGAAAATGTTCTGGAATTAAATAATGGTGACAGTTGTACAACCTTGTGAATATATTTTTTAAAAAACCCATAAAACGGTACACTTCAAAATGGTAAATTTTATGGTTTCTGAATTGTGTATTTCAACTATAGAAAATTTAAAGTGCATTCTTATGAGGAAAGTTAACATTTGTATTTAAACATTCCCCATACAGTTCCATCCCACTCCTGGACAGAGGGTGACTGACTGGTGTCTGCTCTAAAAGGACCTGTTATAGAAATGACACTGCTTCACAACTCAGACCTCACTGGGTGGGACTTTTCATTTTTTACATTGTATCCTTCAGGAAAACTACTAGCACAGTCCTTCCCCAGCAAAAGTGTCTAATTATTTTAAATGTGTTTTTGTTCGTTTACAGATGTTGCGTTCATGTTTTAAGACTCAAGACAATTTTTACCTCATTTTAAGATACTTCATTAGCCACTTCTTGCTCTGCACTACAAGGTAAGAAAACTTAACAAACAAAACATGTAATGAGGAAGCAATCTTTTCAGAGGTAAGAGCTGCTTCTGGATCTCGCTGTTTGAGTATCCCTCGCAGATGTCCACGTGGAGTGTTATATGCTTCCTTTACCGTGTGGTAAAAGGTACCCATTCCCAGCAAGACATGGGGCCTGGAATTTTAAGTCAAATCAGGATCTTTCAGTGAGAACAGGAGGGAGAAGAAAACATTTCCATTGTCTGACATGATTACAAGGAACTTGAGCTGAATTAAAAGACGACACTTTTGAACAATTATAGCTGACAGATAGGATTCCCTTATTCCACTTGTTGACATAACTAGCAGCTGTAAACTTTCACACCAACTCTGGCTGATTTAACAGTCTTAATTCTTTGATTTTCCGTACTCAACGTGATCTGATGTCTGTGACGATGAGGCAGCTTCTTCCACCCACTCTGTGACCAGCTGTGCATTCTGAGGACTCTCGGCTCCCCTCACCACAGCTCATCAAATACTTCGGTAGTCAGAGCCCCGGGCCACAATAGCAGCAGCATCCCACTCCACAGTGAAAAATGAAATAGTTCCAAAAAACCCGAATAGCACCATGACCAGGAGTTGCCAGTGAAGGAGAAGGTAGTTGCTGTAGAAAAATGCCACAGCTGCACAGATGGACTGCGAACAAATGAGACAAATCACCAAATGCCCTGGGGACTGGACTGGACAGCCCCATGGTCAGCCCCATCAGTGCTGACCCAAAGAACACCTGCGAATGGCAATGCTTGCTTTCCCTCTGAGATGTGACGTCACCAGTCACTAGCTCCCCAGCAGGCACTGGGAACTCCCCCCTGACAGCAAGTAACAGGTAAGCTAACATCTCTGCTATTTTAGATAGCACTTTGTTAAAAGTTGCAGCAATAAAATAATGTGCACACAGCGTGAGAAACGCACTTGTCTATTCGGGAAATGAATGGAATTCTAGCACCTAAGGAAGGAAACCTCTCATCTGAGTGCAGGGACCATAATGTAAAATCCATTCTTCAATGAGAGAACTCACAGTCTCCTGACTGTACTCACAAATCCCTTTAAAGGATGTCCCCAACTTTCATTTAAAAACCGCAATTGTAGTGACCAAGGAAAACAAATTAAGCATGAAGGAAAAGGACCCTAAGCGCACTCTGAAGGTTACCTGTACAAACTTAAAGATGGCGAAGGCTGGGGCGCTGTCGTCCGAATACAGAAAGCCCAGGATGCTGAGCAACTGGGTATTGAAGCAGCTGTCTCCCAGACCCAACAGAAAACTGCAGAGAATGGCGACTTCTTTGCTGAAGAAAGTAAAAATTAATTTAGTACATGTAGTACCAATATTCGCTAGGGCCTCTTAAAATACACAATCAACCCACAAACGCATTTTATCTTCAAGCTTTAAAAACACTGAACAAGAATAAATAAATCCTAGAATTTTGCGGTCTTGTTTGCAGGGCTGGGGATGGAGCCCAGAACCTTGCGCGTTCGAGGCAAGTGCTCCATCACTGAGCTGCACCCCAGCCCGTGCTGGAGGTACAGTCAGAAGTGATGCCCAAGTGTGTGTGTCTCCACATTCCAGCAAACTCTGGCCTGCTACCAACTTGGGAAGCAAGTAGAGTGTTTAGGCTGGGACTCCTTCAGATTTATGGATCTAGACATATATGCTTGCCTCTCTCTAGTTAGCCTAAGAGGTGAAGGCAATCAACCAATACCCTCAAAAGGCTTTTATGAACCACCTGGGTGAACTAAGCAGCTGCCACACCTGACAGAGTCTCCCCCGCTCCTCTTTGTTCCTCCACACCCTAACTTCAGGATATTTCATGCTTCAAGAGTAGATACATAAAATTCTGATCAGATACTTGCGTGCTCCTTCATAGATCACGAGGAAGACGTATGGGGGAGGGAGAAAGGTTAAAAGCAACCACTGAAAAAAGTAACTTGGGATTCTCTACGGATTCCTACTTAAGCTTACTCTGGCTTCGTTAACACTTGACAGATGATCTTCTAAGGACAGCAGACTCTGTGAAGAGGATTAAGTGCTTCATTTCAAATATCCTGCCCACCCTCAAATCACCAGAAAAATGGCAGTCTCAGTACCTGGGCCTGATGTACGCATTGCTGTTGGTCCCCTCCACAGGGGCAATGGGGGCGTCTCCGGGCATGTTGAGAAAGATTAAGTAAAAAGCTATGAAGTGAACCAGGATGCCCAGCAGGACAACTGGGTTTCTACCGAAACGATTATTCTTGCTCAGCAGGCCAAAGAGGCTTCCGCCTATGAATGAAGAGGGCAGAAATATTACCAACGTTACTGCCACGTGACACAACTAGTCCTGAGTTCTAATCCAGAAGCCAAGGAATGAGCATCCTCAAATGTCCAACACCTTCTCCCAGATGCAACACCTCACACTTGCAGTGATAATGATGACCAAACACCAACTATTACAACAGAAAATAAGGTAGCAAAATTACTCATGTTTCTATCCCACTCCTTTATGAAGGACTGCGCCCCAAAACTATCCCCTATGAATTATGGTTAAGATAAATAAGATTAAAAAAGGGCACATCTTATCGACCACTACCATGCTTTTGTTGTAATCAAAGCCAGAAAAGCCCAAGCATCACACTAAAAGGCAGTCGTCGTGAAATGTGAGAATTGTGTGTAAGATCCAAAGGGCGGTTAAAAAAAGGCTTTACAAAGATGCAGTAATCAAGCAGCTTAGAATGTCTCAGCAGAGAGGAAAGATAGACTACCTTTCTATCTAAAAGGTAGAAGACAATGGAGCATCACCTTTCAAATTCTTATGTGATCTCTACCCTAGAACTCTGTACCAGCAAACCTGTGAACCAATGAATCAATGCTGGGGCTGGGAGCCGCAGCTCAGCGGTAGAACGCTGGCCCAGCATGCACAGGTCCTGGTTGCCATCCCCAGCATAGGAAAAGGAAAAACAAGTGAAGGTTAACAGTTAAAAACTTCTAACGTTCCGAAGCACAGTACGGTAACCAGAGTTGATGGGATTAGCTAACAGAGAGGATTTTGAATGTTCCCAGCACAAAGAACTGAGATGACAGATACGCCAATTACCCTGATCTGATCATCACACATTGCAAACAGTGCACTGAAATGTCACGCTGTACCCTGTAAATGTGTACAATTATGTGTCAATTAAAAATTTAAAAATATTTTTATAAATAGTGATATAACAAACGCTGGTGAGGATTCTGAAAAGCTGAGTCACCCCTACATGGCTGGTACACACTCTGCAGAAGGATTTGGCCAATCCTTTCCAAAGTAGGCTGCAGTCCATGGGAGGGAACCCAGGCAGAGGCCAACAGTCTTCAGAGCTGAAGAGATAAGAAAGAGCCCAGAGTAGCTAAGCTCCCAGCCCAGGTGTCAGAAAGGAGTCTGCACAGAGCTGGAGAACTGCAGGGGGGCGCCCTGCATCTTCAGCTGAGTCCTCATCAGCACTAGGGAAAGAGCTGCCGGGAGGATCAGTGGCCCTGCCCTGGGCTGGGAATGCCACCTGGTCTCACCGCCCAAACTCCTGGGAAACTTGTGATCCAGGGAGCACCAGGTGGAGTCCACAGAGAGGTCTTCCCTCGAGAATCAGGGACTGCTAGCCCTAGACTGAGTGGTACTCCAGTCCCACCCAACAAGTCTTAAAAGCAAGACCTGAAAGAATCATACTGCTTTCAATGAAATGAGCCGTACCTAAGAACAAAGCTCTTGAATATTTAGTGGAATGAAAAGCCCAGTGCCCAAGGAGGTAAAATTCACTAGTAAGATATTACAGGCAAGCAAAGTAGCAGGAGAACAGGACCCATGATGACATGAGAAAGCAATCAAGCATGTAATTATGCACACATGCGATCACCTAACATTCCACTCTAGGCATATGCTGAAGAGAAATCGAAGCACACACCCCCACAAAAACCAACACCGCAATGTTCACAGCGGCTTTATCCGTGATGGCCAAGAGATGATAGATGGAGGTGAAATTCGGCACAGCCGTACAATTAAGTATTCTGTGGTGGTAAAAAGGATGAGGCACCCCACATGTTGTAATGTGCATAAACCTTGAAAGCATTATGCCAAGGGGTCAGGCATAAAACCACATTACTTGATTCTGTTTACATGAAATGTCCAGAACAAGCAAATCTAGATTGGTGTTGCCTAGGGCTGGGGAAGGGAGCCAAAGAATGAGGGAGTGACTTCTAATGGGAACAGAGCTTCTTTTAAGGAGGATGAAAAGGTTCCAGAGAGGATTAACTAAGGAGGGAAGACCCCAGTGGGCGGCACCCCCAGGCTGGGGCCCAGATGGAATAAAAGGGGAAAAAAAGGAGAGAGCCTCTAGCCCAGGCATTCTGTCTCTCTCTGTGCTGCTCTCCTCCTCCATGCCTTCCTGCCATGAGGAATGAAGCCTCTAAAACCCTGAGTCAGAATAAATCTTTCCTCCCTTAAATTGTTTCAGGAGTTTTGTCACAAAAAAGCTACCATGTAAAGGCCCACCCCCTGCAACCCTCTCCTACTTTCCGTCTCTATGAATTTCACTGTTCTGAGGAACAGTCCTTCTATGAGTGGAGTCACACAGTAGTTGTGTTTTGTGACCGGTTCATTTCACTTAGCATGATGTCATCAAGGTTTATCTGTGCTGCAGCATGAGCCCAAATTTCCTTCATTTTTAATACAGAATAATATTCTGTTGTATGAATACACCACATTTTTTATGCACTCACTGGAATTGCTTTTGCTGTTGTTATTTTGAGACAGGGTCTCACTAGATAGTCCAGGTTGGCCTTGAACTCAAGATCCTCCTGTCTCAGCCTCCTGAGTTCTGGGATTATAGGCATGTTATCACCAAGGCTAGCTCACTGGAATTTTTAATAGGATCACATTCATTTGATCACAAGTAACTAAGCTATTTAATTTACTTTGAGAAGAGGTCTATGTAGTCCAGGCTGGCCTAGAAGTTGCAATCCTGCCTTAGCCTCCCAACTAGCTGGGCTTACAGGGCACCTGCACAGTACCTGGCTTTGATCACAATTAATTTAGAGTGGACTGATATGTGATGATGTGGGGACATCCTATGATAGATGGAGTAATAATGTGAATTGGCCAAAATGGCAGCCCCGTCCCTTAACAGAAATTCCCGCGCTCTAAGACAGCCCCACCCCTACCAGAGACTCCCGCGCATGCGCTAACTTCCTTAGCCGCCCCCTTCTATAAAAGCCGCGCCTCGCTCAGAGTCTGGACTGGGCCACCTTTTCCGGCCAGCCTGGCAGTTGGAGCCTGCCATTAAACCTTGCTCTTGGACGTGAGACTTTTCTCCTGAGCTTTCTTTGTGAGCGGCATTTTTCCTAACATCCTAACCAAGAACAAGGACTGTCTTTCATTGTTCACATCCACTCAGGATTTTTCAGGAACAATTCTGTGATTTTTCTTTGTTTAAGTGTTGAAGATTTCCTATTAAGTGTATCTCCTAATTGGTTTATCTTCTATCTGCTGTGAATGGGATTTTCTCATCCATTGTATCTGCTAGTTACACATATGAATGTTACTGATTTCCATGTGTTAAACTGCTTATCCTACTACCTTGCTGCTTTTAAGATTTTTCTCTTTGTCATTTGATTATGATGTGCCTTGGTACAGTTTATGCCACATTCTTGTGTTTAATATCCAAAACTGACTGTGGTGATGGTTAAAGAGCCTATGTAGATACTAAAAAGCACTGACAGGGCTGGGAGGGGAGTAGAGTACTTGCCTAGCATGTGTGGTCCAGGGTTGCACCCACAACGGTGGAGGGGGGCATGTGGCTCACATTTGTAAGCCTAGCTACTTGGGAGCTGAGATTGCGAGGATCATGGTTTGAGGCCAGAGCAAAATGGGACTGGAGGTGTGGCTTAAGTGGGAGAGTGCCTGCTTTACAAATGCAAAGCACTGAGTTCAAACCTCAAGTGATGGTGCCATCCACAGGGCCAGTCTTCCCTCCCTAGTTAATCTTCTCTGGAAACACTTCATAGATCCACCCAGAGAGGTTCTTTAATAATCTCCTAGTCACTTCTCAGTCCAATCAAGCTGACAATCAAATAGATATATATATATATCCATGGATATATATTTATCTATATCTATCTATTTATGTATGGATAGATATAGATTATATATATCAAGAAACCAACCCCCAAAACAAAAAGCTACAATCAACATTAACCACCACATTGTATTTTATCACAATTCTAGAAGCAATTCAAAAACCCAACAAGCTTTTCTGTGAAGCTAGGCAAGCTGGTCCTTAAATTCACATGGAAAAATGAACATGTAAGAACAGCTGGGAAACATGGAAGAGGAAGAGCTCTCCTGGGGACCGGCCTCTCCAGATGACGGACACAATGTGTAGTAACAGTGCCTGTTACTAAAATGGCTTGGTGCTAATGCCTCAGCAGAGAAACACAATGCACGGTCCTAAGAAGTAGACTCAGTCACATACAAAATTCTCCTCTGTGACATCGTGGTGCGTCAGATCTCTGACACAAGGCTAGTGCTTTTAACAGATGAAATTAGGACATCCAGACAACCATTTAAGAAAAAAAAATAAAAGACACGTAAGGACAAATTCCAAACCAGAGCTCTAAATTACAAAAGCTAAAATACACAAGCACAAGAAAACATGGCAAATCCTCTAGCCTCAGCATAGGGAAGGGTGTTCTAACTGTGACTCAAAAGCCAGGGGCAATTAAGATAAAACACTGGTACTTAAAAACCAACACCCTCTAAAGCCAAAAATACACTACAAGCCAATCCTAAGACAAATGGGGAAACAGGGAAATAGTAACACAGAGCTCGGAAGAGGGCTAGCACCCCTAACTTTATAAAGAGATTTTCAAATTATAGAACAATGAGAACTAAAAATCTTATGGAAAAATGACCCAGGCGCTGGTGGCTCACACCTGTAATACTAGCTACACAGGAGGCAGAGATCAGGAGGATCGAGGTTCAAAGCCAGTCCAGGCAACAGTTCGTGAGACCATATCTTGATAAACCCTTCACAAAAAAGGTGTAGCCCCTGAGTTCAAATCCCAGTTTTAAAAAAAAAAAAAAACAGAAAAATGAGCCAAAACCTCACAGGTAAGTCACATACACATCATACTCACACAAATTAAACTGACATGCCATTTCTTACCCACTATATTGGCAAAAAGTAAAATAAGATAAAAGCTTCACAAACCTCTCTGTTGGCCAGGCTATGGGGAAGCAAGGACTCACACACACTGCT